GTTATAAGAAGGGTAAGCCAAATTATACTTAGAAAGATGTATAATGTATATAACATTCTGTCTTTGAGCGCATTGTATTTGGAATGCTGTAATGAGAAGTTTGTCTCAAGCAAGAGGTTGCACTCTGGGTGAAAGCGGATGGCTGGTGTTTTTCCATTGCAGTGAACTTAACTACCTGAATACTCATCAAGGGAAACTGATATGAAGCTCTCACAGCAGGAGAGGAAGCTTGATAAGTCAGATATGGCTAGCAGAGGACGTTGTAGCAGAGAAGCTCTGCAATGGTAAGCAAGCTTAGGATCACTCTCTGGGACCAAAGATAGCAAAGTTTATTGAACTGCATAAAGGAATGAACCACATTACTTGTTTGAAATTTGTTACTTTCTTATTTTGTAATGCTTAACTTTGTATCTAGCTAGTTTTACGACTGTTCTGCAGTAAAGCTTTGAAACACATTTTTAAGGTGGAAAGCTCCTTTATGATTTCTACACAAGGTCCAGATCAGGGATACCGTTGAACAATTCTAATACAGTTTACACCCATTAGCCTCTATTTATATTGGGTTGCCATATAAACCACCACCACCAACCTTTATTATGGTCCAGAGACCCAACAAATCGTTACAAGGCAATACACAATTCATACAGCCTACCTCCAGGTTAAACAAGCATTTTGTTAAGAATATGGGGATCATTGGTTCTTGCAACCACCGATAAAAACTTTGCCACTGCTAATGTTCTAGCATATAAACCAAATGGTAATGTCCGGGGGTGGGGGAAAAATTGGTGCCTGGTGGGAATTTTTAATTTAGCAGAAAATGTACAGGATTTGGGGATGTCACCCCATCACCCACCATCCTGATCACCCCAAAAAAGCTCAAAACTTTGAACGATTGGGGGGGAAATCTCAACTTTTTGGACGATCCCCCCCGCAAATGCTGAGCAACTGTGTCTAGATTTTTACTTCTTGAAATATGGCAACCCTAATTTGTACAAATCACTGCCTTAGCATTGTAAACCTGTTTTTTCCCCATAGGATAATCAAACAACCCAGGTTTTATAAACTTAGCCATGCTAATGAACAAAAATGACAGCGGGAATGCTTTTCCTATCACACTGACCACTTATCATTCTAAAGAAATAATCAGTTAAACAATTGTTTTGTACAAAATATTTAATTTCTTCTTTTTTATGCGTGTGCTGGAAAGCAGTATGAAGAAATGGATAATTGAAATGACAAGGGCAGTGCAAATGACAAATATGAAATGCTTGTAAAAATTATTGCACTAATATTTTTCAGTTAAAAATCATGAAGTACTTTATTGCAGAATATAATCAGTTTTTAAAAGGCTCCTATTGGGTTATGGTTAGAATGACTTCTTAAATGAGTAATAATCTTGGCTTCCAGTTGATGGACCTTCATTAAAATCATATGCTATGGAAACTCAGTCTGATGAATGATTCATTTATAAGGCATTTTATGTGAAAAGTAGAAAAATACTGGCTGTTACAAATCCCTGGATCAAGCAATTATAATTTTTCCAGTGTCTGTAAAAACAAACAACAACAACAACAAAACCCCCAACATTTGCTTAATGCAAAAATAAATAAGCTTGGAGAAAATCAGCATCTCAGCCTGTAAAGATAGGTAGGACTGCATTCTCTGATATTTTAATTCATGCCACAAGTGAGTCTATTTGGATCAAATTGGTTGCAGCTGAGTGACCTGTTAAAATGTAATCCTTTATAAACTCCATTCCAAATTGCCAGTCTGTGAAGGCAAATCGCTGGCCACATTCATTCAACCTGATGGGTCTCATGCATAATTTCTACAGTGTATTTTTCAGGGTTGCCTGGGCTTTTCCTGGATTGCATGCATGACAGCCAGAGCTCATTGGGCCTTTACCTGGTTCAGATGTACTATATATAGTACAACAGGTCTTTTATCTCCTATAGAAACAGTGATACAATGCATACAAATTGCTTTTTCTTTACATGTCTCACTGAGTCCAAGGATGTACTGTATTTTTCGCACCATAGGACGCACCGGACAATAGGACGCACTTTGTTTTAGAGGGGAGAGAACAAGAAAAAAAAAATTCCCCCTCTCTGCCCAGCACCCCTTCAGTGAAGCAGCAGGAGGCGCTGCACAGAGAGGGGGAGAACTTTCCCCCTCTTGCTTTCCCGCTCTAAAACAAGGTTCCGTTTAAGGTGCGTTCAGGCGGCTACCTTGGAAGCCTGGAGAGCGAGAGGGGTCGGTGTGCACTGACCCCTCTCGCTCTCCAGGCTTCAGGTTCCTTTCGACCTGCTCTTTGGGGCTGGCGGGGGGAAGCCCACCACCAGCCCCAAAGAGCAGGTCAGGGAGCAGCGGAAAGGCGCAGCGGAGAGCCATAGCCGTGCGTTACCTCTCCAGCCGGGAGAGGGTCGCAGGGCTATGGCTTCTTTAGCCCCGCGCGCTCTCCCGGCTGGAGAGGTGACGTGCGGCTATGGCAGGAGCCTCAATAGCCGCGCGTCACCTCTCCAGCTGGGAGAGGGGCGCGGGGCTGCTTTAGCCCGCGTGCGCTCTCGGCTGGAGAGGTGACGCGCGGCTATGGCAGGAGCCTCACAGCCGCGCGTCACCTCTCCAGCCAGGAAAGGGGCGCGGGGGGCTGCGTTATCCCCGCGCGCGCACTCTCCCGGCTGGACACTTGACACGGGGCTGGGGAGGTGACTGCCATAGCCGCACGTCACCTCTCCAGCCGGGAGAGGGTCGCGGGGCTATGGCATCTTCGCTCCATAGGACACACACACATGTCCCCTTCATTTTTGAAGGGGAAAAAGTGCGTCCTATAGAGCGAAAAATACGGTAGATGAGTCTCGTGAAGTCACATTGTCCAGGCAGTATTTGCAAAACATATTGACTGGTTGATGCACTATGTGAATATTTTAGCTATTTCTGTATACTTCTGGCATCTGCACATTTTTGAGAAAATTTATAAAAGGGATCCTATGATGCTACAAATCGGCTCCACTTCCCAGTGGGGAGGAGTTGCGGTGGACCTCGTGGCCACCCACTCCCCTCCGGGGGCGGGGGACGAAGTCCCGTGTCCCCTGGAGGTTACCCGTCACGTCATTCGCCTGCCAGCCAATCCACTGGCTGGGGGGGGGGGCATGGCCGGGCCCCATTTAAACTGAGGCATGAGCTGGAGAGCTTCCTCTTGGCTCGCTTCCTCAATCTCCCGCCCTCCTCTCCCTATTTTCAGGCTTCGAATTTGGCTTTGCTATGGACCTCGGTTGGTTGCCATTGAGGGGCCTGGTAGTAATTTTTCCACTTGGGCCTTTTGGTTTTCACCTACCTTGTAGCAATCGTCACAACTTTGTAAGGTTTGGCATTTAGGCATTGGTTGATCTTATGATGGGGGAGGGGAGGTGTGGCCATCCCCTCCCCCTCCAAGTTTAAGGGTATTCTGTTAAAAGAATCCGGGATGTGTGGATCTTGTCTGAAGTCTGGGGCTGAGCTAGGGCCATGCCATGACCCCGTTGGGAACCCAGGGGGAGCTTGAGTTGGTTTGCATCGACGGGGCTCCCCCTACCGGTGGTTGACCCTTACTGGACTCCCTGCGTGACAGGGAGGAGTCAGATATAGTTGGGTCAATCCCAATCCCTAAGCCAATACCGCTCTCATTCTGTAACCAATAAAGTTGTGGCCTAAATTTGCCCAATAACATTAACCTTATATCTGTGTCCTTGTGTCTTATTCATCAATGAGCAGGTTGTCTTGGGGTCTCAACACGCAACTCTATTCATTCAGGCTTCCCTTTAAAGAAGTTCCAATATAGGCTGGGTAGGCACAGGATGCTCAGGTTACGTCCAAGGGGCCTTGTACCATTCTCCCCTCCATACCAAAATGTGTGGAAGAAGAATACCTGTTTTGGAACAGATTGCATCCTAAGGGCAATGCCTTTCTTTTTGATCTGTTTCTTTTTGTTCACATCACTTTGCACATATTCATTTGCGTATATCGCCAGCACAATCTTTACTGATGTGATTATTTATCATTAAGAACGGAACTGCCCTATTCCGCCGCCACCCTTTGTAACTTCTCAATATTCAAATTAGCCCATATTGTTCTTGTGACTGTTTTCAGAGGAGGGGGGTGGGGTTTCTTAGTATATGCTTAGGAATTTAACATTTGCTTTTTAAAAAAATAAAAAAGGTTGGCTGTGCAGCTCCAACTGAGTAAAAGGCACAAATGAGTTAGATTTGTCAGTCTTTCAATTATGTCAGATGCTTTGCTTGTAACAACAAAGCACTAGGTATGGCTCTGACTAATGCAGCCAGCTTCAAATTAACTTTCCTAAAATCGCAGAGATAAAAAGCATCCATTATGTTGCAGTTGTGAGCATTTGTGCTGAATAAGAAAACATATGCATGAGGGTAATATTACAATAGTTGTAATTGGTTTTTCAATAATAAATGGAATTAGACGCCTCTGTTCTGTATTAGGGTGAATGTGAAAGACTTCTGCTGGTACAAATTCTATAGGGAGTAGTACGGAGTTTCAGCCCTTAATTTTCTTTATCCGTCACATATAGATTTGCTATGCACATTTATTTGTATGACAAGCGCTGTTCCTCCCCCGCCCCCAGACACTGCTCAAATCCAAAAATACAGTCATGCCAGCAGTGAAAAGTTCACAGTCCAATTTAACAATACGAGGTAGAGAGAAAATAAAACAGGACAAGAAACAGAGTAACTAGGGAAGGAACTGCATTGCCTAGTTGCGGTTAGCATGAAAGAAGAAAGGGAGAGATGGTGATAAAAGCAGTATCACACACACAATCAGATCCACTGCCTAGTCTTATCAGTTTGGTATTGCTTTTTATCTGCCAAACAGTATGAAAAATATCCAATCCAGTCTAGTAATTACCGTATTTTTCACTCCACAGGACGCACCTTTTTCCTCCTAAAAAGTAAGGGGAAATGTGTGTGTGTCTTATGGAGCGAATAGTGCTGCGCAGAGAGGGAGAGCTGCGTAGCACCCCTTCAGTGAAGCGGGAGGAGGAAAAGAGCCCCTTCCATTTCTCCTCCCACTTCACTGAAGTGGCGCTGCGCAACTCTTCCTCTCTTCGCAGCGCCTCTCCTGAGAAGCGGGAGGAGGAACGGAGCACCTTCTGTTCCTCCTCCCGCTTTGCTGAAGGAGCGCTATGCAGAGAGGAAGAGCTGAAGTGCTGAAAAGGCGCTGCGAAGAGGGCCACCTTAACCTCACTGGGTTAACCTCACTGTGAGGTATGGTACATATCTCCAGTCTGAAGCACACTTGGTTCTGTCATGCCTACATCCACTTCTCCCAGCACTTAAATAGCAGGAAGCCTGAATCATTGAGCCATGTGATGCATTTGAACTTCCCTGCTATGCAGGTGAAGGTGGGCAGTCAGATGAATGTAAGAAGAATCCTGCTGGATCAGACGGAAGGCCCACCTAGTCCTGCTCTCTTGTCACACAGTGGCCAGCTTGATGCCTGTGGGAAGCCCACAAGCAGTACATGAGCATCATAGCACTTTCCCATTCATGTTCAGCAGCAAATGGTATCCAGACGCATGCTGACTCTAATCCCGCAGGTACCATATAGTGATAATGACTGGTAGCCATTGATAGCCTTATCCTCCAGGAATTTGTCTAATCCCCTTTTGAAGTCGCTCAGTCTTGTAGCAAGTTCTGTCTTTTAACCATGCATTGTGCAAAGTTCTTCCTTTTGTCTGTCCTGATCTCCTACCTAGCACTTTCCTTGGATGTGTGTAGGGTGGGGGTGATATAGGTAAGTATCTTCAAGGTTCAGAGTATCCTGATGAAACCCTTGTTGTTTATTAAATAGTTTAGTACAACATTTGATTCAGAATATTATTTTTTTCTTGTTTTCCTCCTCTAAAAACTAGGTGCGTCTTATAGAGCGAAAAATATATTGCTCTCTTATAACATTTACAGTGGTACCTTGGTTTTCAAACATCTTGGAAGTCGAACGTAACTGCTTCAGTTTTCAAATGCTTTTCGGAAGCCGCATGTGCCACACGGCTTTCGTATTGAGTTTTCCAGACAGCAGTGCTTCCAGAAATGCCTGCTTTAGTTTTCGAACGTTTTGGAAGCCATACTGTCTTCCGGAACGGATTATGTTCAAAAACCAAGGTTCCACTTATTAAGCTTATTCTGTCGAGCATGTTAACAAGTTTCTTAAGAGTGAGTTGTGTTAGTTGTTCTCAGCTCATAAAGTAAGCATCCTGTAAATGGAAGAATAGAGATGGCATACTTGCAGAACAGACTATTCAGAACAACTATTCAGTCTACATTAGGAAGACTTTGAATGAGCAACTCTTCAGATATGTATTTTGCCTTCTAAATTCTGGGCTGAAGGAGTAGTGTGCTAGCCACCCTTCATTCCTCGCTGGAAGATAAGATCTGCATGGTGGTCTTTACCTGAAATTTGGTCCAGACTACTTTGTCTTTTCCAATTATTTTGTAACCCTCCATTGATGCTCCACACCATGGCCTGGTTACCCAGAATATCCTTTCTGCCTCCATTTTGGACCGTTTCATTCCTTTGCCCTTCATCATTTCTTTTAAACCCCGGTTCAGTTTTCTTTTTAACATATCTGCCTTAGCTGCCAATAAATTTTGCTGGCCATCATTAGAAGTCTAGAGTTTCTTCTGCTGACCTTTTGTTCTTCATGTACTTGAAAATGTTCTTATTAATCACAACCTCTTGTGTAATCTTCCTTTCACTCTCCACCTTTGCTTTTCTTATCATATTTTTTTACACTCCACTTCATTCTGTAATCTTCCTAGCCCTTCCTTGTGCTTGATGTGTTATACCTCTCACATAATAACCATTTTTTTCTTGATACTCTTCATCTACATTAACCTCATTTTTTGGATGCGGTTATTAAGATACTGCATGCTCATACTTGGGATGTAATTGTGCTTAATTTTTAACCCTTCTCACTCTCTTATACTCCGATGCCATTATTTTTGCATAATTCACTTTGCTGGCCTTTTTTGAAGCTAAAGCCAGGTGTCTTAAATTTATGAGAACCTGTTCAGCTCTAACTGGGCTCATTACCAAACCAATTGGCTCTCTGATAAACTCCCCAAAGGGCCCTCTTTCTCCTTTGTATGTCACTGCTTTTTCTAAAGAAAGATAGGGGCTTGTATGAATGCTATGTAGGGATAATCCTGTGACATTCTGTTAATCAGTTTTTTCCGTCATAGTAGAACAGGAATTCCATTTTTCTGGGAAAATGGCTGACTTTTACCTTCTTTCATTTAATTAGGAAACTAATGCTACCTTTACCAATACAGTGGTACCTCGGGTTAGATACGCTTCAAGTTACATACGCTTCAGGTTACAGACTCCACTAACCCAGAAAGAGTACCTCGGGTTAAGAACTTTGCTTCAGGATGAGAACAGAAATGGCGCGGCGGCGGCGCGGCAGTAGCAGCAGCAGGAGGCCCCATTAGCTAAAGTGGTGCTTCAAGTTAAGAACAGTTTCAGGTTAAGAACGGACCTCCGGAACGAATTAAGTACTTAACCCGAGGTACCACTGTAGTCAAAACAATGACCCACTTTTTAATTGGGAAATGAACCACTCACAAAACAGCCATCATGGGGAAAATTCAACTGGAAGTACATGAAAGGTTAAACTTTCCGAATAAGCTGCCTCTGTGATTGTAGCCTGAGTTTTCCAAATTTTGTGAGGAATAAGGGGAAAGCCTACGGCAAGATCCGCCAGGGTGAGCAGCTTAGATGAAACAGATCTCCAATTTAGTGCTAAATCTCCAACCCCAGCTCAGCCTAAGATATGCTATTGTAACTTGCTCATCCCAGTTCAGAAAGGGCACAACCAGCTGAGCCAACATCAGTGTAAGTCTCCAAATGGTGGCATGACCAGAAAGCAGGACTGGATCCTACTCCCATTGAGCTTGGTAACATGACATGGCAACCCAGCGCAAAACACTATTTTAAATGCTTGTTTTCCCTCTGCCAAGCTTAGCTAAAGCAACAGCGGCAGCCTTGCTGCTGAACACGGTTTGGATCTGGTGTAAATTTATACCGGCTCAATTTACACTTGCTTGCTTTGTGCCAGACAGTGTCATAGCGTGGGTTGCCAGTGTCCGGGGCAAGGCAAGTATCCTTGGCACTGCCCATCCATAGTCTGGAATGAAAGGACAATAGCTTGGAGACCTACTTGAGTGGCAGACATGGTGTCCCATGAGTGTCAAGCATGATGGAGAGCAAGATGAGGGATTGGTTGGGAGTGGGTATCTTCCTAAATCCTAGCAACCAGCCATCGCCCAAATCTGCCGCTCAGTCCGCTCACATGAACATAGGGAGATTTTCTGTGTCAGGGGGAGGGAGCGCTATATTTTATTTTTTATTATTACTTTCCTTTTTTTCCTTTTGAAATTTTGTGCCTCTAAGAATTTTGTGCCCAGGGCAACTGCCCCTGTGGCCCTACTCACACCACGCCACTGATGTCAGCTTCTTATACATATAATTTCTCCCTAAATCTCACATTGGGAAATATCAAACATTAGTCACAGTAGACTCAGTAGAATACCTTAACTTTACTGATTTCAAGGGGTCTACTTTGAGAATAACATAAGCTGGATATTTATCACACATTGCCCTTAGGTCTATAAACTACTTCAACATCAATTGTCAAAACTACTAAGTTTTATAATTTTCCTAATTCTGGACAATGTTCTGTTGCAGACAAATTCAATGTCCCCAAATGTATGAGTCTGGCGCTACTATTATTACTTTGAACTCCTCCTTACTGCTACCTCAGGTCCAAGGGATAGTACAGTCATACCTTGGCAGTCAAACAGAATCCATTCCGGAAGTCTGTTTGGCTTCCAAAACATTCGAAAACCAAAGCTCGGCTTCTGATTGGCTGCAGGAAGCTCCGGCAGCCAATCAGAAGCCGCAGAAGCCCCATCGGACATTCAGTTTCCAAAAATAGTTCACAAACTGGAACAGTCACTTCTGGGTTTTCAACATTCGGGAGCCAAAACATTTGGGAACTAAGCTATTTGACTTCCAAGGTACGACTGTGTATGAAATGTCTTCTTTCAAAAACAAATCTAAGGAAATAAACCAATCTGAAATACCTGTTTGATCACTGAGATGTATAATGAAAATTAGTGATGTCCCTACTGGTAGCTAAAATTCACTTTTGAAAATACAAGGTTTGCATACTGGAGAAAATTGCAGTTGCATATAGAAATGTGTTTTGTTCCAATGCAGTTATGAATGCAGTCAAAGAGTTGAGCTACTTTTTAAGTGAGTGGCTTCTCTCATTAGCAATGGCAGTCAACTGCTGCAAGAAAAGATCATAGAATAATAGAATTGTAGAGTTGGAAGGGACCCTGAGGATCATCTAGTCCAACCCCCACAATACAGGAATATGCAGCTCTACCATATGGGGATTGAACCTGCACACTTCACTGTTTTGTATGCCATCTACTCAGTACTTCCCATTATTCATAGTTATATGCATAGGTGAGTGCAAATTACTTAGAACTGAATGGATCTGAGGTATTAAACATTTACCATATTTTCCTAATTGATGTTTTAAATACTGGGATATTCATTTTAAATACTGGGATATTCATTAATTGACCTAAGTTTAGACGTTGAATTGGAAAGCAGTTTTGTTCTGAAATGCATACTATAACAGCCAATGAGCAATTCCATCTGCCATTCTATGAACTGAAGCCACAACTGTACCTTCTAATGAAGAAATTTTGAGTTCCAACCATTGCTCAGCTGTGCATCTCACTGGATTGTATTGGTAAGTCACCATTTCTCAACAGAAGCTACCCCACAAGGTGGCGGTGAGGATAAAATGGAATAATACTATATATACCACCCCAAATGAAAGGATGAGATGTAAAACATGATAAATAATAATCCCAAATTGCACAGGATAATTGAACGGAGCTTCAGTACAGTCAAGAATAGTAGGGTGTGCTGTATGCCGTGATTTCAAATTTGAGTTTTTGATTATGCTACTCTCCTAGCTTCTTTTACAGCCTGAGTGCTGCAAAAACTATATTTTATTAACTAGTT